AAAAAAAAAACACCAGGCCAATTAACTGGTGAATTCACCCCAGAATGGTAAGAGGATAAAATGAGAATTTTACAGAAGAAACATGAACTCAGGAACCATGAAAGGGAGCAGTACATGTCATATACCATCAAAGAGCCCTGACTGGGCAAAGGAGGCAGGCGGGATCGAAATGGTCATAAAGATGGGAAATGAAAGGAAAGGAAAAAGTGTGAATGGAGAAGTACCCTCTCGAGCCGCTGAAGTCTTGGGCATAAAGGAATGATCAGGATAGAGGAGAGAATAGGAACTAAAAAAAAAAATCAACTCGAACACATCAGAATGACAACTAGAGCAAGAACAGGGACCTTAAGCAAAGGTGATATAACAAACATGAAGACAAAAGAGAACAAAAATGACAAAGAACAATGTAACTAAAGTATAAAAATTAAGTAAAAACTTGTGGAAAAATGAATTAAACTGTGAGTGAAAACATATCTATTCAATAAGACTGCCAATCGAGAAGTAGTTAACAGTTACAAAAGTAGAGAGTACACTAGTTATGATAAGGGTAGTGTCACACTCCTATTGGTGGAGGGTTGTTGCATAATCATTTGCATATTATTATACAGAGATAAGTGGAAGTATCAAGGCTAGTGGCAAGCAAAAACCTGCACCAATAGAGGGCAGTATAAATGAAGGAAGTTTTTTTTATGAGTAGAAATAAGATATTGTATCGGAAATGACACACTAGGCAGGGATTCATCTTTCAGCAAGACAATGATCCTACACATTCAGCAAATATGTTGAAATGATATCATGATGGTAATAAAGCTGATGGAACACTCACAACCATGGCTTGGCTTACACTAAGTCCCAATATGAACATTCTTCAGTCTGTAAAAACTGTAAAGGTCTAAATACAACCAAACAACCTAGCTGAACTTTAGAAAGTAATACAGAACATTTGGAACATTGTATAGCAGCATGAAAATAAAATGTAATGATCACTGTAAAGCTAATATAAAAAATATTAAAGCATTGTACAACTTACTTACTTTTCTTTTGTACTTTTTGTGATAATATTAATACATTGACCATCTATTTCCCACAACTCATTTATATGCATGTTTCCATAATTATTTTATGTATGCAGCTATATCAACTCACTTTAATCCAGGACCCTCCATGGGCTGGATCATTAAAATGACCAATATTGATAGCCCACACTGCAACACAGATGACAGAGATCACCTTAGACAGCTGTTCACCAAATTCATCCAGTTTCTGCTGCAGTGGTGTTTTTACATCTTCTGTTTCTGACATCTCTGTACGAATTTTACCTACATCCACAGAATTTGTAAGTAATTAGCTCAGATATTCTTCTGTCAAGATAGAATGCTTCAGCACTTCATAGACTAAAATTTAGTTCTAAGTACATTATTATAAAGTAAACAATATAGACATTTTAAGATATTGTAATTATCAGCTGCAAGATACAATTATTTCTTGTTCCTCACTCAAAGTTTTTAATTAGTAGTACAAATATGAGGAGCACAAAATTCTTACCAATAGCAGTATCAAGTCCAGTTCCAATTACCACACCTTGAGCTTTACCAGATGCAATGTTTGTACCCTATATTAATATAAGAGAAACAAGTTTAGAAAAAAGTACACTAATGTGTAGTTAAATTCGATGACGAGGAACCCACTTTGAGACTAATAATGGACTAATTACTTGCACCTGATGATGA